AGTTTAACTTTAAAAGCAGCAGGAACATCTAAGAAGGTATATATAATAGTATGCAATATAAAATGATTTTGTGCAGTACTATAGCATTTGCAAATGAGCTTCAATTCATTTTACAGGGTAATGTTCGCTTAAACCACTTGGGCCTCTGTATGTCTCCAAAAAGTCTGAACAAAGTTCTAGATGACATTGGTAAAGACTACAGCATAAGTCTAATTGAAAATCAAGCATACATATGAAGCAAGAAAAGTAACTTATTCCAAAGCAAACATGTCTTGTCAGCCAGCTGCATGTTACACTTCAAAATGAAAGTGCAAAAAATGACTCAAAGTCATCTCTTCAAGAATTAAGAAGTGCAATATCTTCTTTAGAAGCAAAGAGACCACTTGGCTATTGCATAGTGTTGGACAATTTTGATATAATGATGTAAGTTGCAGACATGACTTCTGACAATCAAAATAAGCACAATCACTGGTGCAATCATAATGCAATCATTGACAGAGTGAACCTCCTTGAATGTGAAGATAATCGACCACTCGCTGACATTCTAGATATCCCTAATTCTGTAATTCTACTCACAGTTAATAATCATGAAGAATTATTGAAAGATTTTGTTGTTCTCGTGTCAAGAGTATTTGTGGAACACTTCACTATGTTTCAAATATTTCAAGATATTGTACCATCTCATATTCAGCACAAACATCCTGATGAAATGAAAAAGAAAACATAGAAGTTAGGATGACTTCAACAGCAATGTCATTAATGTCTAAAGAAGTTATAGAATCTTAATTTGTCTGGGAGAAATACACACATTCATAATATTATAATCACAATATTGTCTTGTTTTATATCATTAACAGGTCAATCTTGTATGAAAACTTGGACATGATTGACATCGTTCGGGATCTTCACAAGATAAATAACACTACTTATAAGTTCTTTGAAAATTTATTTACATTTTTGTGGATTTCCTAGGGGCAATCACCGATTTGTGTGTTAATATAATGTTTTCAAGGCATCATTTTAAAACACAAAATATTATAACTATTACTAGTAATTTAAAAAGAACATTTAAAATATCCAGATCGAAAGCACACTGAATATTATCTAAAAAGAAAATTAAGATCTCTCTCATTCTATTTTTGATAAAAATGAACAAAATCTATAAAGTTTCAGTATTGTAATTATTAAACAATTACTAGTAACAGACATGTACTTTCTATAGGAGACAAAGAACATGAGACCTTCAACCGTGTATCTGTGGTTGGTAGGTGATCAAAAAACAATCGAGCATGGAGTTGAGGCACAGTTCTCCGTCAGCAACAGTAATGCAGTACCAATTGAAACCTGCTTTTTGATTGCTCCTTAAGTACAGCACCACTATTGTTAGGTTAGGTTTTGTTATATTATTGGAAGACTTATCTATTGTTTGTCCATTGTTTTCTCAACCTATCATGAGACCCGTTCCGAGCGGTGCTACCTGGCTCGTCAGCAATGCCTATACAAGACGAGGAAGACTTGATGGCCTTAAAATTTATATGCACCTATATAATTGACAGTCAGTTGTATTTTCAACATATTGATGACGTTGAGAAACTGGATGAATGGGAGCAGTATCAAGCCAACCAACCTGTTAACCCTGATTGAAGGTATCCATGCAGGTTTGAAGGATGTTCTGCATCATCTAATCATGATGGAAAAGTTAGACGGCGACATGGACTGGCACATAACCCTCCCCCAGAAATCAGAGAAGCTCCAAAGATTACACCAACTACGTACCTTGACAAGGACAGCCAGGCTTGCAAACCATTTAAGGATGATGTCTTCGATTATCATCGAAGTCTTATCAACATGGCATTACTTCTACGCAATTTTATTGATGCTGGCAGGGAAGGTGATGGTGATAGACTAGTCAGATGGATTAAGATTTTTCTGCTACATTTTCGTCAAGATGGAGAAGGAAGTGTAAAATATACGTTGGAGTCCTTATATCATTTATTTCAGCTGACAGCTCTGATGTCACCTAGAGAAGCAGAACGAATGAAGTGTAACCGTACAGTAAATAACAAGGGTGGAACTGGAAACAATGTATTCAAGGACATAGACTTTGAACATGACAATCATCTTTTCAAGGAGTTGTTAAGAAGACTAGTTGCAAATGCTACTAAAATAAGTGTTAGTAGAATATGCAGGGCTTTCTTTCCAGTCAAATCACTATTGGAAACAGTGGATAAAGCTACTGATGTACAACCTAATTCTAGTGCACACAAAAAGAAAGATGTCAAGAAATACTTAATGATAATAGCTAAAATTTTGGTTGAAGAAGTGTTTAAAGTGAAGCCTGACCACAGAATGACCTTTTTTTCCAACTGTCCTCTGTCCTCTTCAATTCCTTGATTCATCTGCATTGTTCACATGGATCAATCATCACAAGAAAAACATTGGAAACATTGGAACTTGGAAAGAGACCAAGATGATTATAAACTTTATGTGAAAAACTGTATATGACAAGTTTTAAATCAATGAATGACTAGGGAAAATTCAAACCAAAGACAAAATACTGTGTAGTACACCACTAACTTTTGAACAATACCAGAATGTAAATATTATTTAAGCGCTATATGTACACTGGAATCAAAGAACAGGACTCTACATGTACTACATATGCAATGTAGGCTCAGTTTTCATTCAGAACTCAAATTGAATCATAATTGGCCATATTAATTTCAAACTATTTACTAGTGATTTCTCTGCAGTGTTTTATTACAATACAATTAATAAAATAAGATATAAAAGAAAAATAAATGATGGATTTTATACAGTTTCACTCACAGAAAGTAGTCTACATGGTAGCTTTACATGTTTTAAGAGCGAATGTCCCCAAGCATCGAGAATCTGATTTCAGTGACATATTGGTCAAATTCTTCATACTTTGCCAGATGACACCTTTTCCAAAAAGCATATCAAAAGATTACTTGAATTTTTATTTTTGAGAAATTCGCCAAAGTAAAATATTGCCGCCGCAACATAATTATCGTGTCTCGTAATCAGTCTGTACAAAGGTCGAAAACAAAGCGATTCAATGGCCTTAAAAACAATCCAATCACACTGAAATTTTACACAAACATAGTTCATTCAATGCAAAATGAAATTAGAGAAATAGTTATTTTAAAATATTACACAAATATTTTTCTGAGACTTTTTTGCACACGGTTGTGAAAGTCTTTTGAAATATGTACCCTATGTTTATCGGCAGAAAAATCTTCCTGGTACCTAATTTTTTTTAAAAAATGAAGTTGATTTTCTAATTGACATGCTAACAAATATTATGTGTATCGAATTTCTAGCTCGAAATCGAAGTATTTCAATGTGTAATCGATCATCGAKTATTCTCCATTATCGGGTCAAAAGTCAATACCGCAGGTGTTTACATTAACCAACTCACACGTCAACTTAGCAGATTTTTTCRCTTGTTTCACTTKTAATTGCATTTGCCGGCCGAAAAATTTCCAAAATTGTATACCGTGTGTGTATTAGAAAATAATCTAAGAATTACGCGCAAGTAATTCCAGATTTGCACGGACCTCAGTATCCTAAAAAYAATTATCAGTCAATAGTATGATTCAAACAGCAGGCTGTTATCCATTTAAGCCTTCATTTTGTTTATATCGTACCTGGCTTCAACCTATAACTGTTAAATTCATGTAAGAAATAAAAAAGGTTTCAATGTTCTATATAGCTCTGGTCTTATCGTTACTGTTCTTTAGTGTTGCGTGACACTATTAAAGAATATGTCACGTATTAACATTACGTATTACATTTCAAAAACTCATATATAATTAATGAGCTACTAGGCCAATAAAATGGGCCTATTTGGTCACATGCATGGACCTTTATATCTGATAAAACACTCCTTATTAGTATTCTTTATATAAAGAATAATGACCTTTATCAGACATAAAGGTCCATGACCCTAGCAAAGGTCTCAGGTTTGAAAGCTGATGATTGACCAATGCAGGATGTCAACCGATTTCAGTGAACAGCCAAGAGBGSTTCTATTTTACTTTATGCKKATTCAATGTGGGATGACAAGAGTGCTTTGTAAAGTACTTCGCGCATGATCAGTTTGCCCCATTTATCTCTGAACATATTTGTATGGCAATTTTAACGGATTTGAGTTTCAAATTAGTGTTGGAGTTTTTGAAGCCGTTTAAAACACTCTCTCTCTCGTGTTTTAACCCTTTAACCGGCAATCGTACATATATATACGATTCGTGGAATGAATCGCTTGGAGCTCTCAAGTATTCTAAAAATGGTCCCAAAGGGACGTAATTTGTATAGTATCCCAGACTTGACTTCGGTTTTGAACTAGTTTGCACTCGAAAACAGTTGATTTTAGCTGTAAAAAAACAGTTTTTCGTTCGTACTATAAACAGTTTGGACTTGAAATATGGCGGCGAGATATTTTACAAGGGATGAAGTGTTAGCTAGAGTTTTGCATTTCATACACGTAATTTTTTCTGTTTTTATGGGCTCCATGGACTGCAGTTTGAAAGAATGAATAAGCTAATATTTTGTTTCTTTTTCAAGTCGAATCACTAAGACTTCCATCATTCTTCTCAGATATAGTACCAATGAAAACACACTTCACACCATACTATTAGACAACATTAGGTTGTCTAGAAACGTTCAAAGTTGCTTTCATATTTTGTGTTCTATACTAGGCAAAATTCTATCTAGCCCACCCACAAATGTTTTCCATAAAAATTGATAACCCTGATGTTGATGACCGTGATCGAAGTCCAGTTCGTCCAGAAAGAACAGAACAAGGAGGAAGAGGATGTTTATGTTTGGATTTTTGTAGCTCCATATCTACTTAAGATAATTGATTTTCCCCATGCACTTGGATACAGCTATTTCAAAAAACGTTGTCGGAGAGAATGGCGATTGGTTATTGGTGATTGCACGACCGAAAGGAATTATGKCGGTTTTGCATATTTTACAACAACTAATTAAAATGCGTTCCCGCTCTTGTTCAAAATGGATAAGACAACTGTGAACGTTTGCCTTCGCGTTTTTGACGCAGATAATAAGAAAAGTTCTAAAGTGTTTTATTTGAAAGACGTTCCGAGGTTTGACAATGTTGAAAGCCTCAAAACATACCTTCTAAACAATCACAGTGATRAAGCAAGCATCGAAGATGACTATAATTTTCAATTGGGTTATTGCGTTGGAAACCGCCGCTTCAGTATTACATACACTATTCACCTCGGAGAAGCACTATCCATGGAAAAAAAGGGCTCGATAAACCTTTGGTTGTCACCTGAAAAGTCTCCTTCAAAAAAAAGAAAGTTTGATAGTGCATTTTCGAACGGAGGGGGCAATAAGACGCCTGTCAATCGACAAGGTAAATCGAATACCATGCCATATGTTGTTCTTTAAKATTCAAAGTGAAACATTTTGTCAAGTGCATTTAGTTAGAATGTTTACGTTTTTTGATAGAAAGTAGCAAAGATAGCATTGAAGAAAGCCCTTTGATAAAGAAAATAAGAAGTCTGACCGAAAAGCACCCTGATTTGGAGGATTTTAAGATTCGGGTTTGGGCTAAAATGTTGGTGAGTAAAGGCATTATTAGGAATTAAAGTAATTAACACTTCTAATAATTTTGTCAACTTCTACTGACGTTTTGGACAGACAAAATYTACTAGATATTAGATTAATATTGCTTTCGATTATTCTTTATTCACAGGTCCTTGCCTTGTAATTATTTTCTGATGTTGTTTTGTTATAGTAACTTGGACTGAATAAGAGTAGCTGATAAGGACGATAGAACTGCACGTGAAAATGACAAATCTTGTTAATCTCGTAGCTTTGAAGCCTGGTTAACTATTATAACTCTTTATCACAACGCTCTGCTTTTCCAATTGAAGTTCAGATCTTTTTTATCTCTTAGGTTAACGGAAGCCATACAAGTGAGGACCAAATGCCGCAATTCGCATTTTTCACAGGAAAAAAGCYAGGAAAAGCAAAGGCGAATGCATCCAACAACGCTACCACTACACCGTYTACGTCTAGTACTGTTATTTCTAGTTCTGATAACGATAAGGTCAGCAAGTTTCAAGTCATACACTATTGGTTCACGCTGCTTTTTTCTGCGGTTGGAACTGCAATTTATTAGTACTTTTATGACTGTACACTAAAACACTGATCTCCATTTTTTTTAATAGACAGAAAAGCGAACAGCAGTGATTAAACAATTAAAAGACTTGAGGGATTTGAAAGACGACGGGATTCTCACTGTAGAGCAGTTTGGTAGCCTGAGAAATAAGCTTGTTGCAGAGTTGTCAGAATTACTATAATTCAGTACTATTAACTCGTGGATATTACGACTAGTTTTGTTATCTATAATAATTATGCTTATGCATCTATTTCACTTTTTAAGTGACAGTGTAATATCTTCACAAACTACAAAAGTAAATTTACAGTTTGATTTGATTTGAATAAAAAAAAAAAAGAAACAAAAGGGAACTTTGTAAATCTCACTAAATATAATTGCCATGTCGAATGCAATTAGTAACGTCTTGGACAGAGACGTTCAAAAAGGCTTGTAGAACCATGTTCTCTGGATTATCTATCAAACGCCATATCACATCATTGCTTGCTATCCAAYTTTTAGTTTGTGAAAAGATATTTTTACAAGGGTTGAAGTCGGGACTGTATGGTGGTAAAAATACAACGAGTGCACCAGTGGCATTGATTGCATCAAGAACTGCCCTTGTATGGTGAATAGCTGCATTGTCTAAAAGCAAAGGAAAAATTAATTGCTATACGCACGCCAGTAGTATATTAATCTATAATTAAATAACATGATCGATCGAAATAAAGGTACTTTGGAACACTTGAGAGGGACGTTTTTACTGAAACCATTAACAATTTTTGTTTTGGAAAACGATCATGTGGCTTCATTAAATTATTCTGTAATTCACTGAACAATTAAATTAAAGTAGTATGGAAATCATGTTTATATTTACTGGAGTACTAGCCTAAGAGTCCTGCTACTTCGGTACGTACCCATTATAACAACAGACCTAGGATTAACACCATCAAATGGTAACAAGTTCGGTGCAAGAACATCGGTAACAAAATCTAAAAATGTGACTTCATTGACATGACCACGACAGAGTCCGACATCCATCAACCCATCTGTTGAAATGACTGGAATGGCAGTTATTCGTGGCCCCCAATTTCGATGTGGTCGCACAACTTCTGCTCTGGTTCCATGAAATCTGTACCCATATTTTCTGCAAATCCTTTTATCCTATTTTGAAAAATGCTAAAATAATTTTCCAAGCTAATGCTAAAAATACTTTTTTTCGAGAAAAAAATACATACAAATCCAGATTCATCCAAAAATACAAGCATCTCTGGAGGAAACAGTAATATATTCCTCCAATACTGCGCACGTAGATGATAGAGAAAGTTCTCATCTTCCTAGTCATGACCACATACCGAATAAGTGCACTTTTGACCTCTTGATAGGAACTAGCTACAATAGTTTACTTATGGTATCTGGGGACAGTTTGATCCCTTAATCTCACTATTCTTCTATAAAACAATGAAGAATGTCAACAAAGGCTTTCGGCATAATGTACWATCATYYGGMGAAATAGCAAGCACAAAATTAACATTTTTGATAATTTTACTACGTCCGACTAAACATTTCAATTGGAAAAAGATCAAACGAAAAACATAAAGAGGGGATTCGGCTTCATGCTCAAGAAATTTAAAAAGATTCTTTGGACAGGTTTTTGATATAGGACGTTCGACATTCGTATCCGTCAGATGGGCAGACWAGCACTAAAACTACACTTTAAGTATTCTGGCTCTGCCTCAGCRACGAATTGACGAACAGCGCCCAAACTAAGCATGAATGTTGGAATAGGAGCAAAGTTCACTAGCGCAGAAATCGAATGATCTATATGAAATATAAATCGACATAACAAATTTTAACTTTGAGCTTGAGTTTTTTCTTTGAAAAAGCCTGCTCCGTGTATACGAGATCATATTTTAAGTTGCGCTCGACATAATTCGTCTAAAATTTTCACACACATTTGTAATACCACTAATAACAAGGTTCAGAGATATTTTAGAGAAAATAGGGCTGGTTTGCGAAATATTCAAGTTTGTGTTTTCCAGGATTTCCCCATAAGTTGAATAAATTATACTCGATTTTCATGACATCTATATATAACATATTTTGGTCTTTTATCCTTCATTTGACAAAATATTGACCGCATCAAAGCAAAATAAACTGCACTTCGATGCGTTTCTTTCATAATGGTCGGTACTAAAAACAACTGTCCCCAGATACCTTAAAAATTGCAGATCTTTACGCTATGCTGCATACAGGCAATTTACTTGGTGGAAACATGTACTAGACAGGTAATTCCATCATGTGTTGTTAAATCTATACGATCTTCGTTTCCTGACCCAAATGGTGTTTACACCGGGTTTAAACATGTCGATAATGGAGAAACAGAAATTGACTTGGCATGGGAATTTTAATTGTTATAGTTTATAAGCTTATGTTTGTATTTTGAGAATGAAAAACAGATCCTAGCTGTCACGACCACAACTTTGCCTACTAAATGCCTGAAATAGAACTTTGATATTTAATAAAATATAAATAAAAACATACATGATGATATGTTCTGCCTCTGTTTACAGTATA